CCCCAAAACCCCAAAACCCCAAAACCCCAAAACCCCTCTTTTAAGTTTAAACTAGAAATATTAAAATTTTATTTCAAAGTTTAAAATATGCCAAAGCAAGCAGAATTTGAAAATGAGAACGAAAATGACAACGATTCAGGTACTTTTTGTGCTCCTAAATTTAGACTTTGTGCAGAAAGGAATCGAAGCACTAAGTGTAGTTGAGTCTGTGATAAATGAGATCCTTGCCAAAGGAGGCGACATGCTTTATGAGCATTATTTGGACGGGAAAATGGATAACCATCAGATCGATGCGGTCAACTCAATGCTATTCCAGTCTCTTAAAGTATGATATCAATGGTTTTCATCAAATTTTGGTATAAATTGTTGGTTTTAGATCGACCAAGTCAAACATGACATCAAAATTCCGAGCTCTACTTATGAGGAATGGGCACAATTTGCTGAAGAAGAACCAGTGGCTGCACCTTGAGATCATTGGGGTAATGGAAGTGGATATAGACTTGAGCAAAAGGTAGTAGTCATTGGTGTAAAACAGTCAAAATCTCCAACTAAAAAAGCAAGAAGCCTGCTCTCGATGGTATTACTTTTAATAACTTCTGCTTAGAATAAAAACAGGACTGGACCAAAGCCTTTGAGTAAGGCTTCAAGTGTATATTCTAAAAGCTTTACTATGACTAAAAATGGGAACTTTCGCAGTTCAATTTTGAAAAAGCAGAAGAAAGCTCCAAAGCAAGGTATTTAGAATTGCCTAAGTCTTAGTTGCTCTTCAAGACTCAGAGGATGATTTTAAACATGATTACGATTATGAAGATCTGTGTGATAATTTCAGGTCCAGAATCGATAACCAAACTAAGCGCAAAGTCCTGAATGAAAAGATAGCTGAAGAAAAGAAGCTCAAAAAGCATATTGTTTTGGCTAATGGTCGGAAACTAACTTCAGGTACACTCTTTTAGTTATTTTTAGACCCAAAATAAATGAAAACTCACCTATGATTATAATGGGAAGTTGATAATGTACCGGAATGTAAAAGCTGATAATCTACAACCTCTGCTTAAAGATGAAGGGGCTGAGTATAATTTACATACAAAATCAGACAAGAGAGATCAGAGCAAAGAAAATTTGAGGAATAAGTCTCACTCTCAAACTAGGTATAAACATCTGTGCTCATCTTTAGAACAGCTAAAAGCGGTTCAAATTCTGAAAAGTCTTTTGACAGCTTAGAAATGGATGAGTTTTACCAACCATATCCAGGAGGAGTCAGCGGGACAAACCATTGCCAACCAATTTCATGTCTTAAGTAAGTTTCTCTTATAAATGAAAGGCCTCCTCTTGGAACAATGGTCAAGCTTAAGCCAGGAGTCACCATGAAGAAGGTAACGCTTTTCAGGTTCATTCTTAGGAAGAGAAAGAGGAAAAAGACCCCTCAAAAAGAAAGAAGAATCGATCAAGATCGAGAAAGAAGAGGATTACTCAGAAGAGAAACGATGAATATAGCAGTAATTTCTTAGCTCCAGGGAAAAGCAGTCATGTGGTAACTTCTTCAGGCAGAAACTCCTCAGTGCGCTCTTCGAGATCAGATGTGAGCTCCTTTCAGAGGCCAGCCTCGAGGTTTACTAATTTTACTCTAAAAGAGCCAAATGATGACAAAGAAGAGGAAGATGATGAAGAAGAGGACTTTGAACCTCTGAAAGATAGAATTTTTGTCAATACAGATGCTGTGAATAAGACTTTGTATAATGCTGATGAGAAGAAATCCAGGATCAGAATACATCTGAAGAAGAATAATTCGTCACTTTATAGTACTAAACTGCGCAGAAATAGGAATAATTACTCCAGGAGTGACAATTATGCTGGGAATTACTCTCAAGACGTAAAGAGAGATACTGACAGTAATATAGACAATAATTTTCTAGGAGATATTGGGTTCAAAACTGAAAATAAATTCTTTCATAAGAGGAATATTTCAAGGGGTCCAAATTACCGCCAGGCTTCAAGAGAGAGAAATTCAGTGCATTCCTTTACAAGAAGTTTAAATCAAAGTAGAGATGAACCAAATGTTAAAGTGTTCCAGAAGAATACGAGCCTTGGGTTAGCTAGACAAAATGCAAGTGCTGAATCATTGAAAGCTTCATTGAGCAAATTTGATACTTTCAATCACTCTGTTTTGCAAAATGACCATGATTTATCACACCAGAAGGGAAGCCAAGAGAGTATTAAAATGGCTTTCAGGCCAATCAGAGATACTAATATAAAGAATTCATACCACTCGATCACGAATTCAGAGTAGGTATTCCTTTATTACCAATATAGGTACAAATCTAGCACTAAAATCCAGTCATCAAGCAAGCATGCTTTATTAGACGACGAGTACAATGAAAGTCTTGGCTCTCCCATCATCCGAGGCAGCTATCTGAATAAGCTAAAGCCTTTCTCAAAGTTGCCTAGGGAGAAGCTATCTAACAAGCTGATGAAGATGAAATTAAAAAATATCCAAAAGAGACAAATGCAAGGATTTTAGATGTTTACAACATGTTTGACACTTGTAGGGGTTTTGGGGTTTTGGGGTTTTGGGGTTTTGGGG